AAAAGGAGGCGAGGAGGCTACTCTTTAATTAATTTCTCATCCGCCTCACATCCGCCTCATATACGTGTTTGGATCATTTTGACGCAAAACTTCGCCGCAGGCAATCGAACGTTTTAATCAGCGTTATCATCGGGCTTTTTGCACGGTGCGTGGAACGATCAGCCTGGTGGCGTTTCGACTGGTCGAAGGGGCTTTTTGGGGTTTTGAAGTTGTGAATGACTTTTGTAGGGTTTAGGCTTGGGTGGGGGAGGTGAGTGAGAAGGAGGTGGTGAAAGAGGAGTCGAGGTGGCAGATACTATGTTTTAGCAATTTTGTTTTTTTTTTGAAGCGTCTGTTGGGCCTAAACTTGATTTTTAAGCCTAAGATTTACTTTTAAGGTTAAAATTTCATTTTTAAGCCTGAGGTTCACATTGTGAACCTAAAATGAATTTTATAAAATTAACTTTTATTTTAAGTCTAAAATTCATTTCATAAGCCTAAAATGTATATTTAAATTTAAAACTTATTGTCTAAACCTGAACTTCATTTTTAAGCCTAAATCTCACTTTTAATTCTTAATTTTATTTTTAAGCCTAGAATTTGTTTTTTAAACGTAAAATTACATTTTTAAGCTCAATATTAAATTTTAACCCTAAAATTTTTTTTTTAAGCTTAAAAATTTATTTTGTTAACCTAAAATTTATTTTGTGAGCCTGAAATTCATTTGTAAGCCTGAAATTTCCTTTTTAAGTTTAAAATTCATTCTTAAGCCTAAACTTTCATTATAAGCTTAAATTTAATTTTTAAGCCTAAACTTAATTTTATAGTTTGAAAGTTATTTTATAGCCAAAAGTTTTATTTTTAAGCCTAACATTTATTTTAGGTCGAAGATTCATTTTTAAGCCTAATCTAAAAAAATTTTCGATTAAAATTTAGAAGACTTTATAGAAATTAGTGATATAGAAAAGTCATTTTTGGAAGTCGAAAAATTCAGACTATTCAAATTACCCGAATTCCTTGTGTTTTTGCTAGATTGTCGGCGGATAAGCGGCGAACGGAGATTTTTAATTTTTTTTGGAACATGGTAAAATAACTGGATATTGGGGATGAGCAACAACCATGGGAATATATGGAGGTATCGTCTGTAATTATTATCTTCCTGACTTGTTTTACTTGTTTTTGGGGAAAAATTTGAAACCTTTTATTGATTTTTTATGTTTTGGGACATGATGTTCTAGGATTGGAGGTTAGTATAGGGCTTGGTATGGAGATGTAGGGGAAAGTCAAAGATAAGGCATTTTCAGGTAGGGTAGGGTAGGGCCTGGTATGGGAATGTAGGGAAAAGTTAAAGATAAGGCATTTTTAGGTAGGGCAGGATAGAGTAGGGTAGGGTAGGGCCTGGTATGGAAAAATAGGGGAAACTCAAAGATAAGGTATTTTCAGGAAGGCATGGTAGGGTAGGGTAGGGTAGGGCTTGGTATGGCAATGTAAGGGAAACTTAAAGATACGGTATTTTTAGGTAGGGCAGGGTAGGGTAGATTAAGGTAGAGTAGGGTAATTTAGGGTGGGTAAAATTAAGGGAAATTTAAAGGTAAGGCATTTTTAGGTAGGGTAGAGTGGGGTAAAGCGGAAATTAAAGGAGTTTCAAAATTGTTTTGCTTTGTTTTAATTCCTCCCTCTCCCCCCCCTTGTTTTTTTACTCCTTCCTTGCTCATTTACCTTAATTCCTAACTCTTGCTTACTCTACTGGCCTTCCTCTCTACTCTGCCTACCTCTCTGTCCTATACCTGTAAAAGTACCACGCTATTTTTGTGCCTCGGCCTTAGCTTCCACAGATCTCAACTTGGCTTCGCTCTTTTCAAATCTTATTTGCCTTGTCTCCTGGTCTAGTGGGGTTTCAGGTCAACTCTCTCCTAATTCTTTACTCTTTTTCTTACCTTAATCTATACTTTTCATTAGTCTTTACTTACAGTACTCTCTCTATATAAGCAACCAGAAGAGACCGACATTTTGTGTTTTCTATAAAGGGTGTTGTCTTTACAGAGACGTTTTAATAAAAATTGACTTGGCGGGACCAAATGTCTTGTTTACTATAAGAAGAGTTGCTTATACCGATGGTTCAATATATAGAGAGACCACTACATTAGGTGCCGACATAAAGAACCCGCCATTTTTTTACAGGAAATTACAGGAAAAGTATGGCGGGTTCTTTATGTCGGCACCTAATATTTATAAAAAAAACTGGTCCTACTATCTTACTACCCCAGTCATTCCTCTTCACTCATTCCTCTCGCCCCTACCACCAAGCATGACACAATTATAATCCGCCAGAAGGGCGCATCATGATCGGCTGATCTTTATTGTGTTTTGTTATGCAATTACACGCATTTAAGCGAGTTAATAAAACGGCTTTTGCTTTGCGCCATTCTTCCATTCATTATTTGTTTTCTCAACTAAAACAATATAGATGCAGCGGAGGGAAATGAAAGGATTCGGCTGCCGTTTATGGGTCTGTAGGATGATGATCACGATGTGTGGGAAAAGTGGCTTCTGGGAGTGGGTACTGGTCGGGGTTGAGGAGTCAGGTATTAAATTAAGGAGATTGGGTTGGGTAAAGGTAGGGGAACATATACGTAAGAGTAGGGTAGAGTGAGATAGGGGTAAGGTAAGAAAAGGGTAGGGTAGGATAAGAGAGGGGTGTATAAATTAAGGGTACGGTAAAAAAGGGCAAGGCAGGGTGAGGTAGTGTAGGGCAAGGTAAACTATGGTAAAATACGGTAGAATACGGTCCGTTATGTATGACAGGGTAAAGTAGGGGTAGGAGTTAAAAGTAAGGACAGAGTAAGATATCAGATAATTTTTGATGATGTAAGATAGAGTAAGACGTCGTTAAAAACAGGATTACAAAAGGGACAGTTGAGGGCGGCAGGTAAGGTTAAACGGAAGTGCAGGATAAAGATGATTAGGATCAATAAGATCGGTGAAAGGGGAGGTAAAAAAGAGGGGTATAATACAGACGTATCTAGGCTTTATGGACGTTAGTTAGGTAAATCTTTATACTTTTAGATTTTTGGCTGTAAGAAGAGGCTCTCTAAAAGCAATTCGGCTTAAATTTAAGAATTAGATTTGGCTTACCTTCTTTGCAAGGCCAATGCGCTAATTTTTTTGTAAACCTAGGCTTGTTTAGTAGGATATTCGGTACGAAAATTGGTTTAAAAAATTCTCAAAAGTGTGGATTTTTATTTTGATTGTTGACGTATTTTTTTAACTATTACGTATATATATGAAACGAACATTTTTTTTGATGTCTTACAACAAAGTTCTTTATAAATTTCTATCAATTTTTAGGTCATTTATTTTTATAGACATGTTTTATTCACGTGGAAGATATGATGATTAAAATATAGTTAATTACAGCAAGGAAGCTTAAGAGAAGGGTATGAACGAATATAGATTGATAGGCAGTGTAGAGTAGAGTATGGTATGGTAAAGTAAAGGAAAGTCGAAGTAAGACAATGTCAGGTAGTATAAGGTAGGGTAGGGTAGATAGAAGCACAGCAACACCGTACAGATCACACCTTTAGAAGACACTAAAAAAGACTACATACTAATAAGAGACGGACCAGACAGTCGCCCAAATCCAGTTCTTACGTATTTTTGGCGCGACCAAATTTGCCATCGGCGGAAAAAAAAAGTGAAGAAGAGGAATCGGCTTCAATCAGAAAGCAGAAGAAGTAATCGCCCTCGTCATCGTCGCCCTGCCTTCGGAAGACGACCGCTCACCGCCCGAGGGCAGAGCGAAGGTTTAAGGAAGCTGGGTGGGGGGGGATGGGTAAAAGAGAAAGTAGGTACAGTTTTTTTATGTTGTTGTGGAGGTAGAGATGTGTTTTGTATAAGTTGGTTTATATAGCACAGTAGGTGTTGGCATTTGGAATGTTTTAAAAGGGGTTACTGTAGGTAGGGTGAGACGGTGAAAGGTAGAGGGAATGGGAGTAGAAGGGGGGGGGGAAGAGGGTAGATTTTGTGGGAAGAGAGGGGGAAGATAAGGGGGGGTAGATAAAAAATCGAAAAAATTTAGATTTTTAATGTTTTTTACAGTATGGTGCATCGCAAATCTATTTAAAACTTTTTTACCCTTTTTTCTTTACTTTTGGGTTTTCGTTTTGAGACCTAAAATTCAAAATTTTTGTAATATCAAAAATCATGTAAAAAAATTTTTTTTTATATTTTACAATATAATATATAGTGGTATAAAAGCTTTGACTCATTCAATTTAAATTTTCGTTGTTTTCCCGGTTTTCGTGGTGGGACCCAAACCATGTCAAACAGTTTAGGCTCCTTAAAAGAAATGCCACTTTAGTTAGTGTAAATTTATTAAAATGTACTAAAAATATTAATTTTCAGCATAATTTTTACTATACAATCACTTATATTACTATACTACATCCACAGTATTAAACAAGTCATTTTTCAAGTTTTAGCCTAAAACTTTTCGTTGTTTGTTTACTTTCCCTTGATGACATCAACGTTGTGGTTGATGTTTTCCGGTGCCATTTCGTATTTTCCAACGGCGATTCTTTTTCGACATAAATCATTGAAGCGGAGAATTTGGTTTACACGTTTCGACTGGTCAAAGGGGCACTCGGTCTTTGATAACGGGGTGTTAATTTGAATCTGGTTTTTTTTGAACTTTTTTGATTTGAAACTTCAAAATTTTTTGAAAATTTCTATTGTACTATATGTTAGCTTTGATAAGTTAACAGTTTTGAATCTCTACTGTAACCAATCGTGGCGTGATACTGTATTAAACACTATTTATCTCTCAAAATCCTTGAAAAATTGTGATTTTGTGCTATTTTTAAATCATAACTTGGACAATTTTAGTCGTGACACAAAATCAGCTTGTACATAGAACAACAGAGGTCTACGGTATCATAAAAGTTGCATTTGGACAATCTACAACGTTGTAGTCGACCAAAACTGGGCAGTTTTTAAGATTCCTCAGCCCACAAACGGGCGGTATGGATTGGCGATGGCTTACGCCGCTTTTAATAACGTTATGCTCAGTTTTAGCTATTGTAAGTTTTAGTTTTATATTGAATATGGTATAGTTTTAAAGGTTATTTTGTGTTGTTACTTTGCTGTAAATTTGGTTTTTGGATTTTCATTTTGAAAAAAGTTATTAAGGTTTAAGTTGTGAAAGGTCAAGATTTTGCCATGGATAATATAATTTTGAAGGCTCATAACTTATGTATACCTTTATAAATAACTATAATAATTTGATACAATATTACTATGTATATGCTAAATCTAAATGCCAATTTTTACCATTACAGGATGACATACACACTGGCAGTGACCACATTCCTGCCAAAATCCACCTAACCGGCATTCGGCGGATATCCAGGCCGCTGATGCACGGTGCGCCAACTGCCGTGCGTCCACACACTCATCAGCTACCTCTCGAACACACGAGTAGCGAGTATGCAAATAAACAACAAGAATATCGACCGGTCACACGACATCAAACTTCAGGGTTAAAGGTAACGGCTCCAACTGCTGCTGTACCTCCAAATTTGGCTTCGTTTCCAGTGTCGCGGGACGACGATGATGCTGTTGAAGACGTAACAACAACTACGGAGAGCGTAGATGAACATGAGGTAGGTTTGGCAGTTCTGGGTTTGTTGGTTTTGATGTGACAGCCGGTTGAAGGGGCTGAAAGTTGATCTTCAGCCGATTTTTCGCTATTTTTTGGTAAAATCTTGCTATTTTTGCTTTGTATCTTCTGTGTAATGCTTTATATGTCATGTTTATTTACACCAATGTAAAGCTGAATGTTTTTACGTTATGCTAATGATAATAGTCCAGTCCACTCACTAACATTTTGCCATTATTTTTGCGTTTTGTTCAGCTTCGTCGCATCGAAACCAGCCGCTTGAGATGGCTGCCACCACGCCAAAACTATAGGCGTATGCTTCAGAAGCCCTCGTCCTTGTATCGTCCACAATCGTATCGGCCGCGTCAGACCGTCAACGACAATCCGCTGAGTCGTGAGGTTGAACGACAACGTCGCATTCAGGTAAGATATATTGTTTTGGTAATAGTGACGTATATATGTTTATAATTTGATATTACTGTAATGTAAAAGCGTATATATTGCTAAATGTGTTTGTTTATGTGGTATACGTTACGTTTCTTCATACGAATAAGAGTTTTTATGGAAAAGGTTTAAAAACAGAGCCGAAAAATGGAATGCCAAATTTGGCGGGAAATTTAAAATTCAAATTTTCTTCCAAAAAGTCGAAGTTCCAGGCCCGATGGAGAAAGATCGGCCCACTAGTAGGCCCAACTGGCTCCAGATTCCAAAGAATGAGACTGATACAACAGAAGAATTGGCGTCATCCATCAACCGAAGCTCCACCAACTACGGTCATTACGACAAGAATCACTCAGATACCATCGACTTCTAGAAGACCGTCTAAAGTGCCACCAATCAAGTATGTTACGCCAACTACACCGCGAACTTACACCGATCATCCTGTGGTTAGTCCAGCAGAAATGGCTATGAAAGCGACTGAACAAACTTTCCCTGTTGAGGAGTCTGTTGCTACCAACAATATTAGACGGTAGGGGGTTTCAAAGTCAAAAAATATTAGCTAAATTAATGTTGGTACGGTAGAAAAGAATCTCTATAATATGATTTTATAAAATTTTTCAAAATTTTATTTTTCAAAATTTTTAAATTTCAAATTTAAGGCAACAAACCCCAGTTCACTCGGTAGCTCCCTTTGATGAACCAACCAAGATTCAGAAGCCTGCACGTGCGTTCGGTGAACGAATTGCGACACCGTATCGACGTGGTGGGGCTAGAAGAGTACAAGGACCAGTATTAGCTCCATTACCTGAAGATTCAACTCCATTAAAACCGATTCCAGCAAGAAGAGAGCTCCAACCGGCTGCTGATGAGGGCCCACGGATTGTTGAAGGTAGGCGGGGTTTTTTAGTCAGTAACGTTTTTAGTATTTACAGTATGAAAATTTTATTTACTACGCTGTAAAAGAGAATAATAGACTTTAATTTGGTAATGGAATTAAAGTTACAGCAAGTAAATCAAAAAAGTTATGGCATTTTGAACTCAAATTACTACTTTTTCAGTATTTTTCTATATTAAGCTGCAAAAAATGAAAGATTACTATAGTTTAAACTACAGTAATACAAACATATTTTTGACTATATTGTAGCCTAGTATCTTAGCTTCATTTTAAACCCAATAAAAACCCATACACTGCAATATTCACCTAAATATATTAATTTAATCACCACCCACATACAATATTACACTAGACAATTTTTCAAACTTCCACGATTTTTATGCCATTTTATAACAATTCGCTTAAAAAGCCGAAAATTCCACAAAACATCAACAATATAACCGTATAATACACCCACAAGCACCATCTTTAGATTTCACACCTTCTGCACTGCCTGTAGCCGAGACCAACAATGGTGATTATCACCACCGTCAGTTGGGTATGAAAGCCGAAAAACGTTTCAAATTGGTACCAAATCGACTTTCCTATCGACCACGCCTCACCATTCGGCGTCCTGGTAAATAACGCGTGGTTTCTGAAAGTTTTCGTTGTGGGACCCAAAAAATTTTGGAGTTTTTCATTTTTTTTTGGTCTTGCAACGAAAACTTTGAAGCTTATTTTTTTGGTTTTACTAACACTTGCATCACTATTCTAACTACACTACTTTTATATATATATTTTTTCAATTAAAGAACATTTTAGTTTTGATTTTTCTATTTCAAAATTTCTTGTTGTGCCATTCTTTTATCGACCAAAATTTTATTTCATACCTAAAATTTCAGGAGAGAAGCCTCAAGCTCATGCTGAAGCTCAACGTGGTCTAAACACCCCAATCTCTCTGCCCGGACTAACCTCATTGGAAGAGCGTCGACCATTACCTCAGTCTAACCTTCCTCAGCCGGCTTCTAGCCACTCGATACCTCGAACTCGAGCTGGTAAACGACCGGTCGTTACTGGTTGGGATACCGAGAGTGAGAGCTCTGACTTTGGTGCTGGATTAGGACAGTCCACCGGAAGTGGTTTGGGATCAGCCGGGTCATCTGAAGGTCGTGGAGGAAGTCGAGGCCCATCGTCCGCCGGCTTCGAGGATTCTGGAGCCGGTTTTGGAGCCAGCAGAAGTCGTGGACCATCATCTGCTGGCTTTGACGATTCAGTGGGCTCATTGTCATCTGGTTTTGGCGCTAGAAGTGGTCGAGGTCCATTGTCAGCTGGCCTAGAAACAGAAGACCAATTTGCTTCACCCAAGTCATCAGCTTCAGAAACCTCAGATTCTGGCTTCGTACGATCCAAAGGTCCAGCATCCGATCCCGAAGCCCCAGGTTTTGATCCATCAGCTATCGAATCATTAGGCGGTGGTGGCGGATCAAGGCCGGATGAATCTGGAGCAGCGTTCGGAAGCTTTGGAACTCCACCACCGGGCTTCAACGAGGCCTTCGGACTGAATGGAGAGCTAGCGAATGGTGAGAATGTTGAAGTCGAACCACCAACTGAACCACCCACGACGCGCCGGCCGCGCCCCACCACAACAGAAGGTCCATTGGTGATTCCGGAGAACTCTGGTCTTCGACCGGTCGCTCCGCCAAAAGAGTTGAGTGGCGGATTCGGAAGCAGTAATGGAAGATCACCATTTGGCGGAGGCAGTGGTGGCTTTGGTGGAGGCGGTGGTGGATTCGGGGGAGGCGGTGGTGGATTTGGAGGTGGAGCTGGAGGATTCGGCGGAGGCGCTGGTGGACTTGGCGGTGGAGGATCATCAAGACCCAAGCCTACCCCAGCACCTCAAGAAGGTCCTAGCGGTAAGATTTTTGAAGGTTTTGGGGTTAAAAATGGTTTAGAAATGATTGGTGGATATTTTTTTTGGGCGGGGTATATTTTTTTGGGGATGGAGTTTAAATCTTTTTTATTTTTGAAAATTTGTATTATAAATAAGTATTTTTTTGAATTTTAAAAACACAAAAAAACTATCTTTGGTGGGCGGGGTAATTTTTTTGGGGTGGATTTTCAAATTTAAAAAAAAATTTTTTTTGGTTCACCTTTAAAAATTTTCAGAAACAGACATCTTCACCGGAGACTCAGCTTTAGTACCAAACAAGCGTGGTCCAACTGGCGATGGTTATGGTCCACCAGTCTTCCCAGGACAAGCCATTCCACCGCCCGTACCAGCCGTCAGCGTGGGCGGAGAAGCGGCCGGTATACCACCATTTGGCGAAGAAGACATTGGAGCTCAGCATGTGATGGAAGTGACTCAAAACACCCCCACCACAGTGAAACCATCAGCTTTATTGAGTATATTGAACAAGGCTGACGAGGGCTTTAACCAAGTCATTAGTCATGTCGAGGCTGGAACACCGGTCGAAGCTGCTTTGGTGGATATTATGGAAGTGGCGTTGGGAAGTCAGAAGTTGGACAGTCAAGCCAAATTGCTAAGTCATGTTGACCGGACTATTGGGTTGGACAATCTGCAAAGGCTACAGAGATGGATGAATACTGGAGGCGCGTTCGACATGGTTAAGGAGCAGGTAGGACAATATTTTGATAAAATTTAAAAAAAAGAATTGATATCTAAAGTAAGGAAAGTTAATTTATGATTAATTTCGTTTTTAAAATGGCGTTTTAGTTTTATTTTTACTTGTTTTGACAATAATACAATAAAAAAACTAAAAGTGTTGGGTCTCACCACGAAAATCTGAAACTTTTTGTTATGTGTAAAAGACGATGTGATAAGGATTTAAGATTGAAAATTTGAAGAAAATAGTAAAAAGTTTTCATTTTTAACTGTATTAAAATAAAAAAAAACTAAAAATTTTTGGTCATACCACGAAAAGTTGAAACTCTTGATTTTGGTAAAATACGAGCTTTTGAGTAGTTATCTGTTATAGTTCAAGCAATTTAATAAAAAATATTCTGTTTTAACAATGTTATAATAAAAAATAAGTTTTTTTGGGTCTCACCACGAAAACATGCTATTGTGTAAGTTGAGTCAAATCCGACAACGGAGAAAAGTGTGTTTGCTAAAGATTGAAAATATCTTTTAAAAATACTGTTTTATACATTGAAAAACTTAAAAAAAGCACGAAAACTTGAAATTTCTTTATTTGAGTAAAATACGTATTTGTTTAAATTTAATCAGTTACATAAAAAATATTTAATTTAACAACATTATAATGAAAAATTCGATTTTTTGTGTCTCACTACAAAAACCTGAAATTTTTTAATTTTTGTAACATTTATTTTGGGTCTCACCACGAAAAATTAAATTTTTTGGGTCCTACCACGAAAGCTTGAAATTTCCTAATTTTATAAACACTCATTTTGGGTCTCAACACGAAAACATGAAAGTTTTTGTAAGTTAGTAAGAAAAAAGATGAAACTTTTGACAAAACATTAATAATGAACATTTCCAGTTCGCCAAAATCCTCCAGAACTACAAACCACCCCCAGAACGACAGATCACCATTCCACCCCAATTCGAGTACCTGTTACAGCCGGAACGAGGATAAAACGGCCCGCGGGCTTGTTTTGTTGTTGAACCGGTGTTTGTTGTAATTGTTATATAGTTTGTGTATTTATTGCGTGTAATATTATAAAGTTATAACCTTATAAATTAATTGCCATGAAAGATTTGACTATTATGTTGTGCTTGATTCACTGATATCTTTTTTGGTTGGGCGTGGACTTGAAATGGGTTGGGGTTTACGAGGCCTTACCCTTGCCCTACCCCGATCTCGGACACTTTGAAAGAACGAGTCTGACAATCTTTGTTGGGCGGGGTAATTTTTTTTGGGGTGGATTTTTATTTTTTTTACTTTTGAAAATTCTTATTGACCGAAAGGTGATATTTTTTAACTTTGAAGCAACAAAAATATTTTTTCAACTGGGCGGGGTAATTTTTTTGGGGGTGAATTTTATTATTTTTTTTTCCTTTTTTAAGTACTTTAATTGACAACAGTTGACGTTTTTTGAGCTCTAAAAACGCCAAAAACTTTTTTTTGGTTGGGCGGGGTAATTTTTTTGGGGGAGAATTTTAAATTTTTTAAAAATTTTTTTTTGAATTTTTTTTTGAAAATTCAAATTTCATTTCTATTTTTTATTTAAATTATTTCATTTCCAAACCTTCCATTTTTTGAAATAGCCAAATTTCGGGTTGAAAATGTCATTTCTGTCGACAAAGCCTCCGCGAAGCAGCGGCTCTCTCTGCCAAAATGGGTACACCGATAGCACCGGCAAAACTTAACATTGGCGACAAGGTGAAGGACACTTGGATTGTGAAGAAAAAACTCGGAGAAGGTGAGGGAGTGGTGAAGTTTTCAAAGTTTTTTATATTGGGGAGGGGGCACTTTTGGTCTGGGGGCGAGGCATGAATCTCGAATGCCCTGTACAGAGCAGGGCATTGCAGGGCATATGATGGAAATTTGCCACGCCCTATCCTGTGTCGAAGCCTGGGCGGGGGTCGAAAAAATCCACAGAGGGCCCACGTTCAACTTTTTCAAAAATTTTTTTTGAGGAGGGGTACCTTTGTCACCCTCCTTGCGCCCGGCTCTAGGTGGCAGAGCGGGGGGGGGGTGTTTTATACAGAGGTTTGAATGTATTAGGTTGTTCAATTAATTCTGCGCTCCCTAAAAAAATGAAAAATTACAGGAACATTTCAATTGAGAAAGGGCTCAGAATTATTTGAACAAACCTAATAGAGTCATTTAACTCCGAACATTTGCTTTCAAAAGAGGCTCAAACTTATTTGAACAACGTAACATATAATATAATATTCTCAGGATCCTGTGGCATGGTATTCCTGGTCCAAAGCGTCAAGCTCTCCGGCCCCGAGGGCAAGGCCGCGATGAAAGTGGAGCCATTCATGAAGTCGAAAGACGACGAAATCCTCAAAATGGAAGTGTTCGTGCTGAAGAAGGTGCAAAAGTCTAAGCACGCGTGCAAATTGTTAATGGCTGGGAAGGACCGCAACTTTAGTTTCTTGATCATGTCGTTGTTGGGCAAGGAGTTGAGCGAACTCCGCCGTCGATATTACCCCGACCGGAAGATGGGACCAGTAGCGTCGTTGAGGGTTGGCGTACAGGCTTTGCAGGTAAGAGAAAGTTGATTTTTTTTTAAATTCTGAGGTTTGTAAAGAAAGTTCTTGCTATTTCTTGTTTTGTAAAGGAAGTTCTTGCCGTTTTTTGTATTGTAAAGAAAGTTCTTGCTATTTTGTATTTTGTAAAAAAAGTTCTGGCTATTTTTTGTTTTGTAAAGAAAGTTCTTGCTATTTTGTATTTTGTAAAGAAAGTTCTTGCCGTTTTTTGTATTGTAAAGAAAGTTCTTGCTATTTTGTATTTTGTAAAGAAAGTTCTTGCTATTTTTGTCTATGAAACTTATTTTAGGCTATCAGAGACCTCCATTCGGTGGGTTTTGTTCACCGTGATGTAAAACCGACAAACTTTGCCTGCGGCCATGCCAATCGGCACATTATCTACATGTTCGACTATGGACTGTCACGACAAATTATGACAAATGAAGGTGGAAAACTCAAGCTACGCGAACCCAGAGAAAAGGTATCGTTCCGTGGCACGGTACGCTACTGCTCACTGAATGTTCACTTGTACAAAGAACAGGGAAGGCACGACGACTTGTGGAGCATATTGGTAAGGTTTAATGGTGATATTGGGTAGAGAATGATAGGTTAGCGTAGGGTAAAGTAGGGTAGGGTAGGGTAGAGCATAGTTTACTAAATTTACATTTCAGTTTATGTGTATCGAGCTATGTACAGCCACATTACCATGGAAAGGAATGTCACGGAAAGAATCAGGAGCCGTCAAAGCTAACGTCACCGATGCCGCACTCTGTAAAGACTGCCCACCATCGTTCATGGAGATTACAAAGATGCTGAAGTCGTATGAATTCAAAACCACACCAGCCTATGACACAATAAAGGGACTGCTAATGAGAGACATTCAGAATCTGAAGGGTAATATGAATGATCCATTCGAATGGGAAAAGACTGACAAAAAGGTGGAGAAGAAGAACGAGGAGAAAGATCATGATGAAAAGGCCGAAATTGATCAGGTAAGGCATTACTATAGTAAATTTTTGAGACTTTAGTGAGTTTCAGGTTTTCGTGGTGGGACACAATTGGTCAAAATCTTTTTATTTAGCAAGCTAAAGTGCATTTTTAAGTAAAAAACTGGTCTCAACTACGTTTTTTGGTAAAAATGATGTTTTTTGAAAAATTTTTAAAAATCATGTTTTTGTGGTGAGACCCGATTTTTTGTTTTTTTATTAAAACTTATTCTTAAGGTAGTAAAATGACAATTTAATACGTATTGGGTGTTCTGTAACTAATTTTTTATACATAATATTGATAAAACATGTTTTTTAAACAAAATTTTGCTAAATCATGTTTTCGTGGTGGGACCCGATGTTCTGATTTTTTAGTTAAAATTGATTCATAAGGTAGTAAAATGAAATTTTAAAGCGTATTATGTGTTTTATAACTAACTTTTTAACAAACTTTTCATAAAACACGTTTTCGTGGTGGGACCCACATTTTTGGAAATTTTTTAAATGTGGGGATATTTGGCTATTATTTATGTGTAGTGAAGTAAAATACGTTTTCTGTAACTATGTTTTACAGAGCGAAGACACAGACACAAAGAAAGACCTGGAAGAATCGGTGGAATCCCAAGCCAGCGACGACGAATCCCAAACCAAAGGCTTTGCCAAAGAAGACACGCTGGACAATGTGGCGGAGATGAACAACAACAAGAGTATTGAAACAACTAAAAAGTGAATAAACTTGGTCTTTGATTGTTGATTGTTTTGGGATTTTTTTGGTTGAAGTTTTTAAACTCATACTTGTTGTACTGTAGTTGATCGTACTGTAGGTTACGTAACAGTACGGTAGAGTATGATAGGGTAGGACAGGACAGAACAGGACAGGGCAGGAATTGTAGAATAGGATAGGGTTGCATATGTTCAGGTAGGATATGGTATGATAGGGTACGGTAGGATAGGGTACTGTAGGTAAAGGTAAACTAAGGCACAGCAAAGTAGGGTAAAGTAGGATCGGATAGGATATGGTATAGGGGGTAGGGTAGCGTAGGCTAGGGTTTGCTTCGGGATGAGGTTGGATAAACTAGGGTAAGATAAAGTACGTTAGGTTACATAGAGTAGAGTAAGGGTAGGGTAAGGTAGGGTAGGGTAGGATAGGGTAGGATAGGGTAGGATAGGGTAGGGTAGGGTAGGGTAGGGTAGGATAGGGTAGGATAGGGTAGGATAGGGTAGGGTAGGGTAGGGTAGGGTAGGGTAGGGTAGGGTAGAATAGGGTAGGATAGGGTATAGCCAGGTTTAGTACACATTTTTTTCTGTACTGTAAGGCGAACCTCCTACGAGTAATTTAATTAAAGCCAATATTATTTACCCGTTTTATGTGAATGTGAGGGTGGCTGTAATAATACTGCCGGCTGTAAATTACATTTCTAATAAGTAATTCAGTTTTTACTACTGTTTAAGGCCTTGGAGTTACTTTCTTATTGTTTTGTGCTTTTTGGGGTTTTTGGTGCTGTAAAGAAAGTTCTTGCAATTTTTTGATTTGTAAAGTAAGTTCTTGCCATTTTATGGTATGTAAAGAAAATTCTTGCCATTTTTTGCTCTGTAAAGAAAGTTCTTGCCATTTTTTGTTTTGTAAAGAAAGTTTTTGCCATTTTACATAAATCTCTATTTTGTTATAATTTCCAAATTAATGTCATTTATATTTGTGTCCAATCTTTAAGCTTGGCGCTTCGGCCAAACTTTAGTTCGCCGCAGGTGAAAATTTTGCAAAAGTTGGAAAAAAACCGACTGCGAGGGAGGCTTTTCATATTGGTTATGGCATTTTGGGCACGCAATCTTACAATCCTGAAATCATAAGGTGAGAGTAGGGTTTGCCATTTCGAAACTTGTGTTCGATTAACTTTTGTACTTGACGTTTGTTTTTTGAAATTTGGCAGATATTTTTGTCCTGGAAAGAAAGTTCTGGTCAAATTGCGTTTTTTTTCATCGAAGATAACGTCATTTTTTTGTTTATAAAGCAAGTTTTTGCCACTTTTTGTTATCTAAAACAGGTTCTTTTCAATTCTAGTGTTGGAACGCAAGTTTTTGTAATTTTTTACTTTGTAAAGAAAATTATTGCCGTTTTTGATATGTAAAAGATGTTCTAGTTATTTTAATCGTTGTAAAGAACGTTCTTGACATTTTTTGTTTTATAAAGAAAGTTCTTGCCGTTTTTTGACTTGTAAAGAAAGTTCTTGCTATTTTTTGATTTGTAAAGAAAGTTCTTGCCATTTGCGGTTTTGTAAAGAAAGTTCTTGCCATTTTTTAAACGTTCCTAAAACTTTTGACTAACCGCAGACTGCTGGTGACAATTTATACGATGCAAGGAAGTGCAAATTTTGCGTCCGAATCTGGAGTTTTTTTAACGAATCGCTTGAGGATTTAAAATTTTTTTCTTATTAAAGAGTTTCGTTGTTGAGGAGTTTTAAAGAGCTTTAGAAAGAGCTGTGGACTGAGAAGAACACCCCCCATCTCCAAAAAAAATTTCGAAAAAAGCTGAACTTGGTCCCCTGTGAATTTTTTAGATCCCCGCCCAGGCCAACAGTCCCTGGCCGGCACTGCTGTTCGTTATACGGGGTTTTCATTATGTAAGTGCAGGGTAGGCTGTGATACTTTACTCTACTGCCTTAGGGTTTCCATATTTAAACCTTGTTATAATCTTATTCTAAAACCCGCCGTCTTTTAAAACAGGCTTTGTTTTACCTTTTCTATAGCCTTATCATTCGTTATAGAGGGGTTCATTATATAATAGAACAGTTCGTTATACAGAGTTTTACCTTATGCCCTTATAAATAAAAAAAGCCTTGCCACTTTGACCACGGACCAGCGCAAAACATTTTAAATTAGCGTGTAAGTTGTATTTTCTCCCCAACTTCATAACAATCCTCGTCTCCGGGTTTTAATCGAGTTTTTACACCGTTTTTTATGCCGTTTTACACCTTTTTTCCTAGCCGGCTGGCGCAACTGGAAAACAAATAATTTCTTAACGCCATTGTGGGAAATTTGCTTTTTCAAATTGGCTTCTTTGACTTAATTGTTTTGGAGTTTGGGCCGGTAAAATACGTTTGAAACCGGGCTTGTTTTACGGGTTTTTATGAGGCAGGGTAAAAATTTTGAAACGGTTTTTGATAAGGCGTGATAAAAATTTGGGGAAAGATTTTTAAGAGGAAAGGTAAATATTTAAGAAACCGGTTTTGATAAAGGCGTGGTAAAAATTTAAAGAAAATTTTGTGGATAGGACGTGAAAAAAACTTTAAAAATAAGATTTTAGTAGGGCGTGGTAATAATTTGAAAAAATGTTTTGGTTAGGGCGTGCTAAAAATTTGAAGAAAATGTTTTGGGTAAGGCGTCAAAAAAACTTTAAAAAAAGGTTTTTAGCAGGGCGTGGTAAAACAAAACAACTAGGCAGGGTGTTTAAAAATGAATGATTTTTAAGAACTTAATTTTTTTGGAAAGAGGTTTTTAAGCCGGGCGTGGTAAAAAAAGAAGCTTGATAAAAAAAAGTTGTGAAGGGGTAAGGTTTCAAAAACTAGTACGCTTACAAAAAGGCTATGGGCAAATATTTAGTTTGTAAAAGAACTGGGTTCATGGTAAGATGGGATATTTGAAACAGATAAGGCAAATACGTTTTTTGAACGATCCGTGGTAAAACGTTAGGAGGTTTTCTTTACAAAACATAAAATGGCAAGAACTTTCTTTACAAAACATAAAATGGCAAGAACTTTCTTTACAAACCCAAAAATAGCAAGAACTTATTTTTCAAAGCAAAAGTGACATGAAATTCCGTTAAAATCATAAAATGGCAAGAACTTTCGTTACAAAACACAAAATGGTAAACAATTTCTTTACAAAACAAGAATTCCACTTTTATTTAAAAACTTTAAAAAATTAAAAAATAAACGTATTTTTATGCTTATTTTACATTTTAAATTTTACTGCGTGTTTTTTTGTACATTTGGCATTTGTATTTTTTAGATTATTTTCATAATTTTGCTTGCTTTCAGATGAATAACAAAGAAAAAGGGTTTCAAGGGTTGATGGACGCAGAAGAAGAGGAGAAGATCAATGTAATCGAATTCATCAAATCCATGGATCAAATCAAAATTGCGGATTTAGAAAAATTGTAAGTTTGAAAAAGTTCTTACATTTTTTGCTCGATTCTTAGTGTTATTACAGACTTAGCACGGCAGACTAGTTTTAATCTTAGATCTCAGCACGAGCATATTCTTGAGCATGGTCATGAATATGAGTTTGAATTTGAGATTGAATTTGAGCTTGAGCATGAGCTTGCGCGTGAGCTTGTGCTTGAGCATGAGCTTGCGTTTGAGCTTGGGATTGAGCTTCAGAGCTTGTGCTTGAAGTCTTAGCTCTAAACCTACTTAGAATTACTTTTATTCTAGCCTAGACCTGAATATAAGCTGACTGGGCTTGGCCCGGCCACGAGGGCAGAAATCCAAACCAAGGCCCGAAACATTGGGCCCAGCTCGGTTTTTATACATGTCCATCCTAGCCTAATCATACCCTTTCTTTTAGTCTTACATTATTGTAGATTTTCAGTACGAACGATCCTTATAGGTCAGTCTAATCTCATGGTAACCCCATACTAGCACAGATCACTCTTTCCTCAGTTTGTTTTTCAAAGTTGCAACAAAATTTTAAATTTTAAAATTTTGACTAAAGTTTTTAAATTATTTCGTTATTTTCCAAAAAATTTTAATTGTTATTTTGTGTTACTGTAACATTTTCCTTAGTTTAATATACAAGAACGGGTATAAATTAATTAAGCAGTTTGCTATGGAAACGGTTGTGGAATTGTATAATTGAATAAATTGCTAAATTTAAATTCAACATTTTCGACGCTAGGTCTTGTTTTTTCTTGCTTTTGCCACTTTTTATGAGATCGAGGAAGGAAGTCTTCCTTGACATTTTGTGTTGTAAAGAAAGTTTCTGGGACTATTTAGTTTTGTAAAAAGAATTATTGTGATTAACTGTTTTTGTAAATTAAGTTTTTGTCGTTTTCATTGATTTCAACGCTGGTAATTTAAATTTAGCGGTGTGCAGGCTGCGGGCGCCAAGTTATACGAAGCATGAGCAAATTTTAAGATTTTTTGTTTTGTAAACAAAGTTATTGCCAGTTTTGGATTGAAAAGTAAAGTTTTTACCATTCTTTGATTTGTAAAGAAAGTTCTTGCCATTTATTAGTTTGTAAACAAAGTTCTTGCCATTTTGAGTTTTTCAAAGAAAGTTCTTGCTATTTTTCGTTTTGTAAAGAAAGTTCTCGCCATTGTTTGCTTTGTAAAGAAAGTTTTTGTCATTTTTTGTTTTGTAAACAAAGTTCTTGCCATTTATTAGCTTGTAAAGAAAGTTCTTGCTATTTTTCCTACTTTTTGCAGCTAAAACGTCATTTTTATTTCGTGAGCACAAAAATATGACATACTTTAAATTCGGTGTTAAATTTAACGGCTGACTGATTTTTCAAATTTCAAACATTTTATGGAAGTTTAAAAGTTAAAAAGGCGTTCAAAATGTGAAAATATTAGTTTTAGAATTCGTGGCGTTGTAAACTGACATTAAATTGTAGTTACAGTGGGTGTGGGATTGATATCGCCACGCGATATGTTCAAAACTAGTGGTATGGCTTTTGGGATTAAGTTTTTTCTAGTATAAGGTCGTGTTTCTCAGCTGTTGAGGTTTACGTTGCCTTGTCTTGCCTTGCCTTAGGCCCTAGTCCAGAGCTTTAGCCAGAGCCGTAGCCCAGAGCCCTAACTTAGACCCTTAGCCTTGCTCCTAGGTTTAGTTTTATCTCTAGCCTTAGCCTTATAATCTAGTCTTGGCTCACGACTAGCTCGGACTTATCTAACGCCTAGCCTTGACTTTAGCAGTAGTCTTAACCCTAGTCCTAGCTAGTCCTAGTCCAAGTTTAACCTAAGCTATGGCTCTTTGCTAGGGTTGGACTTTTACCAGTAAATTGATTTTTCGGTAAAAAAGCAGGTAAATTTACCGGTTTTTCCCTACTCTTTGCCTAACCTGTCTAGCTTTTCAAGCCTCTTAGCTTGTGTAGCCTGTTCAGCTGGTCTAAAGTGTTTTGATATAGGCCTAGCCCTAGCTCAAGCCTTTGCATTGTCTTTGTTTTAAAGCTAGTCTTATTTTTTCCTTTTTATATTTTTCTTATCAATTATAACACTAAAATACAAAAATCTATTACTTTCAGACCCCTCTCCGAGCTGAAGCAAATAAAAAACGAAACCAAGAAGGAGATGAACGGACCTCGGAAGTTTTTGCAACGAAAAAGTCGCGAAGAGTCTCCTTCCAACAACAGCACCCAAAGTGAGGATCCCAACTCAACAGTCTGGAGGAAACATTCGGCCGAAGTGAAAACATCACTACGAAAAATGGCATTCAAAAACCATCGACAAGAAACGTTTCACTCATTGGCCATGTGCAGTGATAATGGCGGGGATAACATGGTAAGTATCCTACCCTACCCTACCCTACCCTCCCCTACCCTACCCTACTTTGGAATTGCGGTCTTACATTTGTTGACCAGACCGACAGCCGCCTCCGAATCTGCCCTCCCCTGCCTTACCTTTATCTAAACTACTCTATCTTACCCTAACCTACCGTATCTACCCTATCTTACTTCACCCTTATTCACAGTACATTTCTTATCCTACCTTTCTCTAATCCTCATTCCCATTTCAGTGCATGGAAACAGCCAACTCATCATCAGCCGCCTCTCTAAATGAAGACTTCATGAGGATGCCTTATGTTGAAGCTGGTCGAGTAAGTACGAATGGTCGATCGTTAGACTCGGCTCCTTCACCGCCAAACCCAACCCAAACCAAGTCGGTCAATAATGGGAATCGACGAGTTTTGCACACCATCGAACAACCAGATGGGAGTACGATAGCCTTCTGCACTGAAATTGAGACCCAGACGACCAAAACGGACGAAAAACAGAAATAATTACGGTATTATCAATATAATGATTTATGTCATGGTGAATATATTTTTATGAAATTTAATTTTTTATTTTCTCCAAAATTTTTTCTATATTCAAATCACATTTTCATTTTTGAATGTTCGAAATTTTTCTTTATTTTATTAAACTATAAGAAGTTTTTACCAAGCTTTTTTCCATTGTATCATAAAATACTCTGACGTTTATCAAAAAAATATAATTTTGTAATAATATATTACTATTCTTGTTACCTAATAAACAATTTCATTTTGTATTGGCACTTTTAAAGGGAGAAAATACCCTCCCCATCAAATATCTTTCCCTACTTTTGACAAAGTTTACCCTAAAATCCACCCCTGCTCCCTTGCTCTGCCTAGACATGGGAACGGGCGGGGCTTGAAAATAAAGGTATGGCCCGAAAAGCCCGTCCCGTTTGCACTTAAAAAATTCGGGACGGCCCTGAGAAAAGTTTAGATCAGGCCATGCCTAACATTCAGGTCCGACCCGCGCGCCGGACTTACATGTTTACATGTTAGAAAATGGACCCGGCCCGTTCCCTGTGTCTAACCCTGCCCTGCCTTCGCCAAATCCTACCTTAACATATCTTCTCCAATTTGGCTTACCTGCCTTATCTTTGCCATAATTTACTCTACTTTTGCCAAACCTTACGTTATAACGCGTTAACTTATTCCTCTACTTTTGATATGCCCTAATTTATCATACCCTACCCTACTTTCGTTAAACACTACTTTAACTTATCCCCCCATACCTTTTTTATATCCTACCTTACCCTATCATACCCTAGTAAGTTTTAAAATGATTATTGCGTTGCAGGCTGCAGGTGACAAGTTATACGAATGTCAGACAGACCTTGTAATTATTTCGAAGTTTGTAAAGAAAGTTTTCGCTATTTATACTTTAGATGTAATATTTTATGTCATAATTAAAAACTTGCATCTCATTTTTCTTTGAAACTTGATAAAATCTAAAAAAGAAACAGAAAACAAGCAAGTATAATATCAGAACCGTATAAACTACAAGATTTCTAGCGCTGAAAAAGGATATTTTCTTATAAAATAGCTATCATAATATCAAATTATCTATTAGTATATGTATAATTATAACTTTTAAAGCTAAAATCTACTATAAAAGATTAAAAATGTCGATTAGAATATCTGATACTGATGTTTTTCAAATTGAAAGTGGTAAAATCAGAGGTATTCAGTATAATATCGACAATTGTAAGAACTACGCCGCTTTTTTGGGAATTCCATATGCTAAAGCTCCAATTGGTGAACTGAGGTTTGAAGTGAGTTTGGAAAGAAAGTTCTTGTCATTTTTTGTTTTGTAAAGAAAGTCCCTGCCGTTTTGTGTTTTGTAAAGAAATTTATTGCCATTTTTTGTTATGTAAAGAAAGTTCTTGTTATTTTATGTTTTGCACACGAAGTTCTTGCCATTTTTTAGTTTGGAAAGAAAGTTCTTGCCATTTTTTGTTTTGTAAACAAAGTTCTTGTCATTTTATAAAGGAAATGAGTACTTGAAAAGAAAAATTCCGAAAAACGTATTTTACCTTATTTTCAGAAACCTCAACCAGTCGAAAAATGGAGAAATGTTCGAAATTGTAAGCATTTTGGAGCCCCATGCCCTTATAAAGAAGTCCCTAACAGTGAACACAAGCCAAGGCTGGTTCACTCAGAAGACTGCCTGTTTTTGAATGTTTTTGCTCCTTTGGCCAATAATCAGGTAACTTAACTTATCAATAAAAGTTTTTAAAGGGAAGGTATGGCTAGATAAGACTATATTTGTTTTGGCTGGTTAGACAGTTTAGGCTAATTATGACAAGTTAGGGTAAGATTCCATAAGATAAGAATAGTAAGGGCAGGTAGAGTAGGAGAAGGATAGATTTAAGAGTAGAATAAGGTAGAGCGAAGTAGAGTAGGATGGGGTAGGGTAGAGTAGGAAAGGGTAGGGTAAAGTAAGGTAGGGTAGGGTCGAGTAGAATAGGGTAGGGTATGACAACAACATCGCTTATAACCGACCTTTTCAGTACCACAAGCCCACCAACCTCCCAGTATTTGTCTTCATTCATGGCGGAGGCTACGTCTTTGACAACGCCTCAACTTATGGTAGCCACAACATTTGCAAGAATATATGTTCAAAAGATGTTATAGTAGTAACAATTAACTATCGACTAGGCATTTTTGGTTTTCTAACATTGAATGATGACAAAACAAAAGGAAATTATGGCCTATGGGATCAAACTGAAGCTTTGAAATGGATTCAAAAGAATATTGAGAGCTTTGGCGGAGACCCGAATAATGTTACAGTAGGAGGGCATAGTGCTGGAGCGGCTTCTAGCGACCTTTTGGCTATTTCACCGCATTCTAGAGGTATGTTTTGGCATTTTTGAATATTTATGTGATTTTTATGTCATATGATGACATTAAAAAAAATTTTTAAAATTTCAAAATTTTGATATTTAGGTAACAAATATCTATTTTCAAGATTTAAACTACTCTATAAACTAGTACTTCTTTAAAAACTTCAAAAAATTAAAAAATTTGAAATTTAGGTAACAACCTCCCCTTTTCAGGCCTATTCCATAAGCTGCTACTCTTCGGTGGAGCTTCAAAATGCGGCTTTGCTATGCTGACTCCAGAAGCTATTAAACGAAGAATCTGGCAGTTTCTGAAGTCACGTGGATTCACAAAATCAGAATCCGACTTCACTTCAAACTCAGAAGCCAATGAAGAAATTTTAACATTTTTGAAAAATCTGCACGCAGAGCATTTGAAATTAGGCTTAATTGGACTGCCAGCGTTTAAAAACGAATTTTCAATGCATATTGCGCCTGTTGTTGATAAAGACTTCTTTCCTTATAACATTGAGAGGTTGAGGAAGGAAGCGCCACAGAAGGAGGTGTTGGCTGGTGTCACTATGTTTGAGGGGTTGAACTTGGGTAAGGAGTACTGAGTTTTATCTTACCCTGTCTTACTCTATCCCGCCCTACCGCACCCTAACAAACCTTACTCTACCCTCCTCACCATACCCTACCTTACCCTACCTTACTCTACGACACCCTACCCTACTCTACTTACCTTATGGTAAATTTTTATTACATACTTTCTCAGTTTTTTTTGTCATTTCAGCTATTGGTCAATCCAGTGATTCATTGAAAAAGCTGACTTTGAAGCAAATTGGATTTGGATTGAAGCAAAAGAATCAAAAACTAGTACAAGAGGCCTACAACAATATACTGGGCGTGACTATTTTGAAAAGTGATGAAGAGAAAGACATTTTTCATGTCAATGTAAGCGTAATTTTTTAAGTTTTAAATGAAACAAATCGACTGGTCAATAAATTATTAAAAAAGGCAGTAATACTCCTATTTTCCTACCATACCCTACACTACCCTACCCAACCCCTCTACTCCTCTCCCTACTTTACCCTTATCCGTACGTACCCCTGTCCTACTCCTATACCTACATTAGTTATGCTGTAGCTTTACCTTTCCTTACCTTTAGTCAAGTCTAAACCTAACCACACCAAACCCCTAGTCTAGGCTATTTCAAGCCCTTCTTTAGCCTGATTCTAGCCCACCTTAGTCCAATATTAGGTCTTTCCCAACCCTAGCCGACCCTTAATTTTGTAAAAACTTATTATTTTTACCCCCGCCAACCAAAAAATCGGTTTAAATTTAAAAATTTTCAGATTTTGTCCGACTTTTTCATAAACAATGGAGTATGGGAGAGTGCTAAAAACTGGCATGAATCCGGGTCAAAAGTCAATTTGTTCACTTTCAATTACATTAAACACAATATGCTGGGAAATATGCAAAAGTTTTTGCCATTTGAAGGTGAGTTAGACAAGAAAAGTGTATAAAGTTGAAAAAAAAAGACTTAAAATTAACATACCCATTCAATTAGACCAGAAATCGGGACCGCTTGGCCGGTCTGCCCCTTTACAGGTCTTACTACTGTAATATAACCTACTCCTGTCCATTTACAGGTCTAAATCTATAATAATATAAATAATTAAACAATAAATTTTTAGCCGCCTGTCATGGAGTAGAACTGGCATTTTTATTTGGCGAAAATTATTACGCTGAAATTCAGTTTGATCGACAAGATCTTCAAGTACTAGATCGATTTACCACTTTCATTACTGATTTCATCAAAATTGGGTAAAGCTTTATTTAAAAATTACAGACTGTGTAAAGCAACGCAGGAACGTCCCTACTCATTTTTTAGCGGGGCAAGTAAAAGCCAAAAATTTTTTTTTGCGATGAAAAACTTTGAAAAAATTCTATTTCAATCCACCCCTCCTAGCAGACTAAAAGATTTTTTTGTCTTCAGCCCCTCTCATAATGAGAAAAAATCTGTAGCGACGTCTTTGACCGTACTCATCATAAAAAACCTCATTTTCAGTCCAAACAGCAGCCTAAAAACGCCATTACTAACGGACAAAAGCCTCTTCAAACATACACTCATCAATGCCAATGCTAACAAAGAAAAGGACGACTTTTGCAGCCGTCGGCCGCAAAAATGGCTTGAATTCAAGCAAAAACTCCATGAGACGAGCAAATTGTAATCTAAGTTTATGACATTTGTACTAACCTTTAAGAATATTTTGCCATATCTTCTGTTTCGAAAAAATCATTTGTTATTTTAATCATAAATAAACTAAAAAATGAACTTTAAAATCCGAAAAACTTTCAAAAACTCTTATTTAAAAAGCCAATTAATCAATATCATATACATGTGATAACTACGTAGAAAGTCAAAACTGAATAGTACTATAGTTAAAATGTTTATTCAATTTTAAAAAGAGTGTCAAATTCAACAAGAATGTGTAGTTATAGGCTGAAAACTGGAGTTTTTCAGCTTTAATAATAGAGTTAAAACTGGGGTTTCGCTATTATTACTGGGACAATTTCAAACTTTAACATAGACATTGATCAAGAATATGAAAACAAGTAAGCGACAAACATAACAGGGTGATAAGATAAGCGACAAACATAATAGGGTGATATCTAGGGGAATATCCGAGCTTTGAAACGACATAAAAAGTAAAGAAAATCCCGAAAATCTAGGAAAAATCGACAAAAAATTCAAAAAATCAGTTAAAATTCCAAAAAATTGATGAAAAACCTTAAAAATACCCTCCTTATAGACCCAAACTAACCAATAAATCATAGTTAAAACCAAGCTACATCATGTTAACCTCACTTAAACTTGTTACTTCTTTTTTTATTTCCACTTCTGGTCTTTCCCTGTGGTTTTTGGTTCTTCTTCTTCACGATTTTGCCTTGTTTCACATGATTCTTGGCTTCTTTCTTCTTTTCCGTGAACTTTTGGTCCTTTAGGAACTTCTTTACCTTTACATCCGGTGAGAATGAAACTTTTCTGTCGCTACTTTCATTCAGACTCGTGTTCTTCTTCTTCAAGACACCAATAATGTTCTTGGGCAGCTCTACCACAACATTCATTTTCCTGGCCTTGGATTTGCCATTATTGACCAGTAGTAGGCCTTCAAGGTAGAGGAATTTGCAGACGGCTTTGTTGATCTTTAAGTCGGATCCGAGTTCTTTTACCGTGCTCCATTCTGGGTAGTTGTTGAGGAGGATTTCGATTAGTGGAGCGAAGCCTTCTGGCACGTCGACGACCGTTTCTGGCCGACCTTCGTATACCATGGAGTTGTGCATACGATGGACGAGGAAGGCTACATCTTCGTCTTGGAACATCAGTCTAAAATTTTGTTGTTTATAGATATTTAGATAGAAAAAAGTAGTGGTAAGTTAAATATTGTAGAATGTAATTTTTAAACCAACCTTCAAAACTTAAAGTACTTACCTTTGAGTATGTTTCCTGATGATTCTGACTTCAGTTTGAGCTCCGAATTCGACTACCTTTGGGATTTGACCACTAACTCCATATATGGAATGTTCTCGTTCATCTGAAAAAGACCAATAAGTTAGTACCTAAACTAATTTCTCCTATTTAGCTCAAAAAATAATTTGTAAAAGCTGCATTCGCTACAAAATGACATTTTATAGAACTTGTGTACCTAAAATCAACTTTTTCATTTTTTTAAAATGCAAAAAAATTCAAAGTCAAGGCCTTACAATGTGTCAAAAGTGGAGGTAACGACCGTCTCAACGACTGTTTGACCACCATATCAACTACCGCTGGGATGATGGCTTGTACACTCAATTGTTGTTGTTCCATGAAGACGTCCAATGGCTCCAAAAGCCTTCAATCAACAAAATAATTTTAAAAATTAAAAAAATTTTTAAATTATTTAATTGTTCAAATAATTCTGTGGTCTCTCCCAAAGCAAATTTTCTGGTTATGAAGACACAGAATCAAAACTTACTTCTTCTCCATTTGCTCCTCATTATCATAGTTAATATTAGCGACTCCACAAATCTCGGCCAAATTAATAGGTAAGTTTTTCCTGACTTGAGGTATCATTGCCGTCTGACTCTCGACCAGCCTCGTTGCCATTTCCTTCATCATTTCGGCGTAGGTAAAGTTCTGTGCCAAACTAATCGTGACATGCAGTGAATCCACATTCTTATCAGCGGTGGCACAATGAATATAGCCTCGTGGTAGGTAGAGAATGTCGCCAGCTTCTAGCCATCCATCAAAGACCAGGGTGTCTTCACGTTCGGTCATTTCTTCGGCGGTGAAGTTGCCAGATGATTCCAGAGGCCAAATCTCATCAGTGTCTGAGGGTCCATAGATTTTCCAGTGTTTTCGGCCAGCAGTTTGGATTAGGAAGGCGTCAATGTCGTCCCAGTGTGGCGCGAAGCCGGCTGTTTTCTTGGGAGTGTAGTAGCTGAAAAATAGAAAATTTAAAATGAGTTTTTTATCTTAAAATTCATTTTTAAACCTGAATTGTATGTTTGAAGCCCAAAATTTAATTTTTCTACCTAACATTCATTTCTAAGCCCAAAACTTATTTTTAAGCCTAAAATTTAACTTTTTAAAATTCATTTTTAACCAAAAATTTCGTTTTTAAACCTAAACTACATTTTTAACCTTTACTTTACTTTAAAATTCAGTTTTTAAGCATAAAATATCATTTTTTAGCCCAAGAAAATCCCTTGCCAACAACCCAAACCCTCTTACCAATTAGCTCCAACAAAACAATTGAAGAGTTCCTGGAATTGGTCGCAGATGTAGTGAATGTTCTGATTGAAACTCTGTGGATTGACGACTTGTATCGAACAGCCATCCGCAAAATGTTGTACCACTTTGCCCGATGTGATTCTACCTTCTCCGTTATGCGTCGTCCTTTGGCCGTTCTTGTATTTGGCTACATTCGCGTTTACACCGTATTCCAGGAAATTCTGAAAAATGATAAATTTTGATGAAAATCAACTTGAAATTTCAAAAAACTTCAATTTTTCAAAGTTTAATTATAAAAAATGTCATAATTCTTGTAATTTTGTTATAAAAAATATCCTTCTCATTACAAACTGCCAAAATATTATTGTAACTTACGTCCTGGAACAATTTGTGGAAATCTGTGATAGGAAAGACGCTACTGTAGTAATCCTTCGCTTTTCTTTGAATAATCATCATTCTTCTAGCATAAATCTTTCTGAAAACACAAAAATGGCAATAACTTTATTTACAAAAAAAATGGCAAAAACTTTCTTTCCAACCTCCAGAAATCAATAAAAACTTACTGGAAAAAGTCCTGTGGACCAACCGGTCCAATGAACCATCTGAAAGCCTTAACCGCAGCATTGACTGAATGTTCATCACCTTTGTTAAACCCAAACAGCTCATACTTCTGACCTTCCCACTTCTTCTTCAAATCCCTATCAATCACAACACAAGTTGGTCCTGGCTCTGTGACTTCGAATCCTGCCACTTCCAGCTCGATTCCTTCGTTCACGATGCCTTCTGGAGAGATGTGTTGTCTTCTGGCAATGTCGTGCATCATTTCTTCGTCGTCGTCTTCAGATGAGTCTTCATACTCGTCTTCAAACTCAACCTCCTCGTCGTTGTTATCCATGAGAATGTCGTTGATTTCGTCTTCGTCGACTGGATCCGCATCTTCCAAGTCTTCATCGTCGTCAGCTTCATCTTGATCAAAGTCGGAGTCGTCAGTGGATTCGTAGTCGAATTCCATGCCTTCTTTGAACAGAGCGGCAACTTTGGCCTTTCTTTGAGGTAAGAGACCGTATGCGGACAAAAGTTCGGCCGAATTTTGTTTGACAGATTCTGAAATTTAAGAATGAGATTCAAATTTATATTTTATGCTTAAAACGTAACCTAAGCGAACAAAATGGTATTTTAGGCTCAAAAACAATATAAAACTATATTCACCTTGACGCCCCTCATCATCCTCACTACCAACTCCATTAGTGCCATTCACCTTCTTCCCGTTAACTTTCTGAGATTCATCAGCTGTATTTTTCAAGTATTGCTCCGACTTCATCTGTGCTCTCTTGGCAACGGCCGCTTCTTTCTTCAACACTAAAGAAGTGTTCTTCTTCTTGGCATCTTTTGGCTTCAAACCAAGTTCAATCTCTTCGTCCGTATCCATTTCGGTTATTCGGCTTTCTTCGTCCGTCAAGTCGGATTCTGAACCATCATCATCTTCATATTCGACTGCTTCGTCGTCTATGAAGTCCAGATCTTCTTCGTCAAACACGTCTTCATCCTCTAGATCTTCACTTTCTTCCTAAATGAAGATTATGTATCAAAAATTCAAAAAAGTTTGTCGTAATTATTCAGGATGTTAAGCTTAGTCTATAATATGAGCCAACAATGACAAATACCTAAAAACCCAAAGAAAAAAATAAAAATCTTACCTCAAGATCATCAACAGGACCAAATATTTCATCCTCAGCCCCACTTTCTTCTGAATCACCTTCCATCGCACTGGAATCCATCAAAGATGCTACTCGTGAAGCAAAGTTAACGTCACTTTCGTCTTCACTATCCAATTCAAAATCACCGTCCTCGTCTTCAACTTCCATTACTTCTTCTTCATCCTCACTGTCTTCTTCCTCTTCTAAACATTATTTTTAGTTAATAGATGTAATAATATAGCTTTTTTTAACAAAACGAATAATATTACTAACAAGGGAATGTTACAAACCGCCCATTCGATTTTTAAAAGTGAATGGTACCATGTGAAAGAGCGTAAAAAGTTGACTAGAAGTCTATTTTCAAAAACTGCTAATTTTGCCTTACAAGCCCGCTAGCGAGATTTTAAAATCATTAGTGAAAGGGCCTTATAAGTTGTTATTCGTTCTCTTGGATTATTGAATTTTTAAAAACCTTAGTTTTTACTTTTTTTATATTTTATTAGACGTAAGAAGCCATTATCAACAAAAAATTTTTTTTTTGAATATTTAAGTTAATCAACTTTTAAATAAAAAAGAATACCAATCATTTACCCAAAAAGAGAATCGAACCTAAAGTCCATTGATTCCGCAATCACGGCGCCTTTGACCACTCGGCCATTTGAACACATTTACTTCTCTTTTTTTGAAAGAAGCCAAAAAGAAAGCGGGTTTAAAAAAATCCTGTTTTGATAGTAAAAATTTTAAAAGCTCGCTAGCGGGCTTGTAAAGCAAAATTAGCAGTTTTTGAAAATAGATTTTTAGTCAACTTTTTACGCTCTTTCACATGGTACCATTCATTTTTAAAAAGCGAATGGGCAGTTTGTAACATTCCCTTGTAAGAGGTGATGTCTATGAGAATATAAAATTCAAAAAAAGATAAAAACGCATCCTTACCATCGTCAAAATTTAACTTTTTAGCAAAAGTACTTGGCTTCAAGTCCTTCAAAGAGATGAAAGAAGCATCTGATCGTGCTGGGGAGTCAACTGACATTGCACTATCCGAAGATTCAATAAACCTTCCAGCAATCCGTGTTCCTTGACGTTTAATTGGCGTCAAAGCTGAAATAAAAGCATACAATGCACTTTTTATCCTCAATAATCAGTCAAGATGTAAAAAGCTTCCTGCGTCTAACAAGAGATCACTTAAAACAAGGTCTTACCTTCTCCCAAAACCTCAGCACCTTTTATATCTCCATGTCCATTCACTGGTGTGCCATTTGTTTGCTTATTTTTCTTCTTAGGCTTCTTCTTCTTCTTTTTTTTATCTCCATTTTCTTGTTTTACACCATTAACTTTGGCAAGATCACGAACAACATTCGTCGACAAATTCTTGGCTGCCTTTTTAATCTCAGCCATTGAAACGCCTTTCCCATTTAACCCATCGTTCCGGAGGTTTGTCTTCTTAATCTCTTTGCTTGGACCAGCCTTCTGTCCGTTTTCTCCACCATTTTCCTTAGCCAATTCATCTAAACATCGAAATATTTAAAAAATAGATAAACTCACAGATTGGCACGTATTTATCAACGTTTTCCCATTGTTTCTTCTTCTCCTGTTCAAGCTTTCGACGTTCTTCTTGCTGTTTTCGACCCAACGCCAAAAGATCCGTCTCAAAATGCCGACCTAAACTTGATATATGAGCGACAAAATCAAACCTTGACATTAAAAAAAACTAGTAAAATGAATAGGACTTACCCATGACTATTAGTAAAAAAGTAACCGTATATTAATCAAAAAAGACAAATTATCAACAAATTACGAGCAAATTTCCTAAATTCAGTGAATTTTCGGCGCAATTTTATGAATTAATCGGAATGTCACTATTGAGTGCGACGAAACGCCACAATACCTTTACCTATTTTTGCCATTCTTTCGAAACCTGGTCTTCAAATAACATGATTACTTTGACTTTTTACCATCTTTATTATCTTAATGTCTCAATCTTTAAATTAAAAAATTTATTCAATTTTCAGATTAGCAATATCAAGTGTAATATGATCTAGAACAAATAGACGGATTCGACCTTGGCTTGAGGTGCTGGTGGTTCATCGACGAGGTGTTGATAGTTCATGAGTTTCCAGTGGTAAGCATCGTGCATTGGACTGTATTCACGCAGATCTTCCTGCTGATATTGCGAGACTTTGGCCAATGGATGTTGATCTTCGTGAGCTGAAACAAAACACTAGTGTAACTCAATGTATATAGCCTTGATTGACTCGAAATTGGACTTAAAATGATCGGCAGTTATTTGGCTTCAAGATAAATGTAAGTTTAATTTATATAATATATGTTTTGATTATAAAAAATCAAAAAGTTCATGTTAACTTACCTTCAAGTTGAGTTTCTAATGTTTCGCCTTCAATTTCCTCGTTTGGTTTCGGGGTTTCTTGGAGTGTTAATTCATGAAATTGAGCTACAAGTTCGGTGTCTTGTTGATATGGCAATTCTCTGATCGATCTTTCGTTTTCCTGCTCTTTTTCATTCGAATTCTCTGCGTAGGAACTGTATTCTTTTTCACTATTCAGTACGCTCAAGGCTGTAACTTCATCTGAAAACTGAGTAAGAATGACATTTTAGTCTTATGAATGAGCTTTAGGCTTAAATATATGATATTCGTCTCAAAAATATTGTTTTAGGCTTAAAAATAGTATTTAGGTATAAAGTTAAGTTTTATGTCCAAAATCAATCGTTGAGCCTAAAAAAGTAAAATGATCTTGACTTACCCTGTTCAATAGGCCTAGCCGTTGTGGAGTCCAGGCCATCGCAAATCTTCAGAATGTCTTCTTCCGATAGGGCCATATTCGGGACGTACTGTAACGAACTGTCGATTTCTAAACGACGATTCAACCAGCTTTCGTTCCGACCGGTCATTCGAATGGGAATTGAAAGTTTTTCAAGTTTCTGAACTTGTTTTGGTTTTTTGAGATGAAAAAGTGGTTTAATTTTTGAATTTTTTTTCGAAGTTTCAGTTACATTTGAATTTCGCGGGCGTTTTGGCATTGTGCTTCAAAGCTCTTTTGATAAGTTTTTTGTAAATGAAAGTATATTAATATTTATATTGTCATAGTAAAACCTTTTAAGTTCCTCGAATAATCTTAACCTATGTTTCACGGTATCTAATCCTGTCTGGAAAAATTAAGTGAAACGGTAATCTCGAGACAACATATAAACGAGACATAACAAATTATAAACTTCTTGTGTTTTGGAATAAATTTAGGAATCCTGCAAATTCTCACGGCAAGTGGAGACAATAGTAATGTATTTTTTTGTATTTTAGAGGGGTTTTTTGTTGGATAATGGGACAGTAATGTGTAGAGTAGGCTAAGGTTGATCAATTTAGGAAAGCATAGTGTAGGGTGGGATAGGTTAGGATGGGCCAGAGTAGGGTAGAGTTATGTAGAGTGAATAAGGGCAGGATGAACAAAAAGTAGGGTAAGTTAGGGTAGGACAGGATAATGTTACGGTAGATGAAAGCATGAGGTAGGAGTTGAGTCATAACTGAGGTAGTCTTAGGGTTAAGCGTATGAGATAGAGAAAGCGGGGTTAAAATTTAGTAGGGATAGAGTACGGACGACTAAGGTAAAGTTCGGTGTGACAACCGGTCTAGTCCAGATCGTGCCCTGTTTGTTCCGGTCAGAGCTGTTATAAAGATTGGTCCGGTCAATAATTTATGGGGCTGTGCAATTGGTCTTGGCTTTAGAATCGTTCACCGATCTCTTTAGGCTCGGGCAGATTAGGATAGGGTAGGGTAGAGTAAAGTAGGGTACGATAGGGTAGGGTAGGGCAAGGTAGGATATTGGCTGGACAAGGTCAAAACCACAAATAGACTAACGTCATTTTTAAAAGTCTACAATTTACAACTGTAAGCCATGGTTTACATATTGTAAAATCTATTTCGTACGTAAAACAAAACGTATCTCATATGAGTACAGGAAGTCCTACAAGCTTATAGTTTAATACTATGAGGAAATAAATGTATTTTATAATGTTTTACATAAAGAGTTTACATTTTTGGGCTAGATTAGTACTGCAACATTGTATGACTTCCTTGACTTTGAAAGTATGCAACTGAAATAGTATTATCGTCTGTAGCTAAAATAATTAGGCATATTATACTAGGGCTTCTATTGTGATATTGTTTCGGTACGTACGGAGTACATATTGTTGTAGATACCATATGTTTGGTAAGAGTTCAAGCCATAGTTTAAGGGCAAGTTTGGTCATGAGTTGACGTTGTTGGTAATATTAGGTGGGGTAAGCAAAGTAGGGCAGTACAAAAATAGAAAATGGCAGATTAGGGTAGAGCAGGACAAGACAGGCTAGGGTAATAGGGGGTAGGGTAGGGTAGGGTTGAGTTAGATGGACAAAGCTACGATAGGCTAGATGTACGGTAGCTTAAGCTACGGTAAGTTAGGGTAAGGTAAGGTAAGATAAGGTAGGGAAGGTAGGGTAGGGTAAAGTAGGGTAGGGTATGGTATAGTAGTGTAGGGTAGCTTAAGATAGAGCAAGGTGGGCTATGGTTGACTAATCTATGGTAAGGTAAAATACTGTAATTTTGAGTATAGTATCTTTCTGTACATTTAAAGTAAAAAACGTTGACGTATACTATAATTTACCGTACATAGCCTTACTATACTTTAACATGTACAAATACGTAAACCAACTCATCTATGACTTGCCTAGCCCAACTGATCTATTTTCTGTCGTCTATACGAAACTATACGTAAAAAAGTGGCGCATTCTGATTAAAATTTAAATAAATTATGCTTTAAGAACAATGCAGAGTGAGGATAACATCATCTATATTGTTGCGTGACATGAAAGAAACACCCGCGCCGGCTATGGTTACATCTTATTCGAGAGGGTTTAACGTTTATTTTTAGTGTAACAACCTTGTGATTGTAAATGAACGAGAAAAAAGTATTGTTTTAAAAACGAACATGTATGAATTTTAAAACAAATATTTTAGTCGTATCTTGTCGTCTAGTTTTCTTTATGTACATGAGCTCGATAAGAGGTAGGGAACATCTTGGGAAAGGCAATGATGGGGGTAGGGTAAGGTAGGGCAGGGATAAGTATTGCATAGAATTGTAGAGTAGAGTAGCGTAGAGTGACAGGGAAAGGTGTTTTAGGGTAGAGTGGGGTAGCGTAGGGTAGGGTAGGGTAGGGTAGTGTAGGGTAGGGTAGGGTAAGGTAGTGTAGGGTAGGGTAGGATAGGATAGGGTAGAGGAAAGTAAAGTAGGGTAATGTGGGACATAACAAAGTAAATTAGAGTACGATAGATTATGATGGGGCAAGGTAAGGATAAGCAAGGTAAGTTAAGGTATAGTAGTTTAGGGTAGCGTAGCGTAAGGCAGGGTTGGGAAAAAGTAAGGCATGTTGATATAGAGTAGGGAAGGGTAGAGTAAGGCAGGCTAAAGTAGAGTAGGGTATGTTTTGATTACTATAAATTATTCTGTAACATAATTTAAACACCATACCGTACACCTCAAGCACGAACTCTTCAATAGTTGTTTACCTAGATTTTGATGATATTGCTTGTTTCATGTAGGTTACTGTATCTGCGTGCATAACTACGCAAATCTCTTGCAACTTCTAAGTAAATATGTGATGTTACACTACACCTATATCCTGCGTGAACGCTTACTTTAGCATAACAACTCTAGCAATAAATGAAAATATCATACAACAATAATTGCTTCTCCTGGTTTATTGCCGCCTTTGTTTCTATATACGTACATCTATGAATTATATAGATTTTGAGTATGTACATAACCATTTTTGTTGTATGTATGGTTAGGTATGCCTATGTTATAACAAAAATGAAACTAGTGGTTATTGGGAAAATAATTACATCTACAGTTTTGGGAATGTGCCATGAGTAAGTTCTAGGAAATGTTATTCTATTTAGGTTTGTAATGTAAAAACATACGTTTGTCATGTTATAGTAAAAGCAGTATTTGCGCATTTTCAAGCGCACTTGTTGCTTATGCGTAGATGGAACCCGGATATCATATTTGGGTATTTATATGTTAAAAATGTTAGCAATAGTTTTTTTTTGGAGATATATATGTGAAGCATAGTATATATACTTGCAAGTTTACATACTGTGAGGCATGGTGGGGTAAAGTAGGGCATTGTGAGATAAAGCGAAGTAGGTTAGGATACGATAGGGTATTCTAGGGTAAGGTAAAGGAAGGTAAGTTAAGTTAGGATCAGACAGGTAGGGTGACATAGCGTAGGATATGGTAAGCTAGGGTAGGTATGAAATGGTAGAGTAAGGTAGGGCAGGGAAAGGTACAATAAACTAAGGTATTATAGAGTTGGGTACGGTAATGTAGAGTAGGGTATGGTAGGGTAGGGTAGATTAGGGTAGGGTAGATTAGGGTAGGGTAGGGTAGGGTAGAGTAGGGTAGGGTAAAGTAGGGTAGGGTAGGGTAGGGCAGGGTAGGGTAGGGTAGGGTAGGGCAGGGTAGGGTAGGGTAGGGTAGGGTAGGGTAGGGTAGGGTAGGGTAGGGTAGGGTAGGGTAGGGTAGGGTAGGGTAGGATAGGGTAGGGTAGATTAGGGTAGAGTAGATTAGGGTAGGGTAGGGTAGGGTAGAGTAGGGTAGGGTAAAGTAGGGTAGGGTAGGGTAGGGCAGGGTAGGGTAGGGTAGGGCAGGGCAGGGTAGGGTAGGGTAGGGTAGGGTAGGGTAGGGTAGGGTAGGGTAGGGTAGGGTAGGGTAGGGTAGGGTAGGGTAGGGTAGGGTAGGGTAGGGTAGGGTAGGATAGGGTAGGGTAGGGTAGAGTAGGATAGGGTAGGGTAGGGTAGGGATGCGTGGGGTAGGGTAGGGTAGAGTAGGATAGGATAGGTAGGGTGCATCATGTACAAATACGTACATCCACTACTAGTTCACTACGGTCTACTTCCGTATGACAAATTTGTAAACCTAGCTCAAGATGCTTTCGATTTCAGGTCAGACCGTATTAAGATACGATTAGGGCCGTCTTATCTGAATCATGTGTCGGACAGTTAATGCCGATGTTTATTCGGGATCGTTTTAATTTAAATTCCCGCGAGATTAAGTTACATTATTAATGCACTTTAATCGTTCGTAATCTATGAAACTATCACGGAATAGTTGAATAACACCATTGGGCTCACATTTTTTACTGAGTTTTGGTTTACTATGTAATGTTGTTTGGTTTTTTAATAGCGCTAGCTCTAGCCGAGAGCTTTAGCTCAAAGCTCTAGCCCATAGCCCTAGACTAGAGCCCTAGCCCAGAGCCCTAGCCCAGAGCCCTAGCCCAAAGCTCTAGCCCAGAACCCTAGTCGAGAGCCCTAGTCTAGAGCCTTAGACCACAGCTCTATTTTACATGTTTGGCCTAGAGCCCAAACCTAGCCTATACTAGGCTAAGCCTTGCTTTTGCTTAGCCTAAGTTTGGTCCAAGCTTAGCCCAATCTTAGCCTTAACTCAAGAATAGTCCTAGTTTTAGCCTTGTCTTTATCCCTAGCGCTAGCTCAGAGCTTTAGCCTAGAGCTCTGCCCTAGCTCTGTTATAACACCAACTTAGCCCAAGTCTAGCCCAAAGTCTAGAGCTTTAGCTCAGAGCCTTAACCTAGAACCTAAGCCTAGCCATAGCTCAAGCCCTGCTCTAGGCCTAGCCTTAGGCTTAGTCCTAGCTCTATTTATTTTATAGTCCTAGCTTTATTTCAAATCTCTTAAAAGGTTTTAATGCACTACGTTTGTTTTTACAAGTACACAAATGTCATCATACTGACAAATTTCTGACCCAGCTCAAATGCTTACCAATAACTTCTTGTTTTGAAAATTTTAAAACATTTTTTCAAGCGCATGTGGTAAAAATTATACCATCCGCTTATGAAACAGA